CCCCAGCCCCTCCAATTCCTCTGAAATGCTTCGTGCCTCACCAATGAGTAATAGATCCTGTTTGATTAGAGCCTGTAGATCTGCAGAAGACATTGAGGTCCCAGCAAACTTCCGTTTACAACGTTCCCTCCAAATGGATGCCATTAGAAAGCACCAAATGAGCCCTGCAGTAGAACCATATTTCCTTCTGCAGAATGAGCAAGCAGCAGCCACAGTAGCCGACCAAGAAGTGCAGCATATGGGTAAAGAACAGAGCCCCTGCACCACCTCCTTGGAATAGCTACACTGGAAGAACAGATGATCACGAGTCTCCTGCCCTTGCCTGCACAATACACAAACAACATCTACATCCTTTCCCCATTTCACCATTTTATCAGAAGTAACAATACCATCAAGCAGGATCAACCATGTAAGGAAACTGTTCCTAGGGATAAACCCATGCCCCCAGACCAGGTTGTGCCAATCTACAACAGGCCACTTAGGCCTAATTCCCTCCCAAACCACACCTAATCTAAATCTGGGCATGGGAGTGTGATCCCAGCAGACCACCCCTCGCTGCAAAGAAAAATGCTGCTGTAGAATTTGCCTTGTCTTCAATATTCTACGCCAAGCCCAAGAACCACTAGCCCCAGACTTCAAAGTCCAGATGCTACCTTGTTTGATCCTGTATGTAGTAACCCAGGCCACCCATATTGTCCCACTCTGCATCAGAAGTAACCAAATCATGCGAGCAGTACATGCTTGATTCCAGGAGCTGAGTTCTTTCAGACCCAGCCCACCTTCCTTTTTCGGCCTTGCCATTCTTTCCCAACCTATTTTAGCCCTGCCTTCTTCAGAACCATGCCATAAAAAGTTGGAACAGACTTTCTGTACTTGTTTCAGGACTTTCTTAGGAAGCAAGAAAACTTGCATCCAATACTGCAAGACCCCCATAAGAACATAACTGACCAATTGAAGCCTACCCGCATAGCTAAGCCTCTGAGCTCTCCAAGATTTAATCTTCTGAGTAATTTTTGCAACTAATTTCTCACATTCAGCAGTAGACAGCTTCCCAGATATCAAAGGAAGCCCCAAATAACGTACTGGGAGGAGCCCCTCCTGAAAACCAGTGACCTGCAGAGCTCTACTTTTAAATAGCATCGACATTCCTCCAAAGTAGATCTCACATTTTGCCGGGTTGCACTTTAAGCCAGACATGGTATAAAACTCTGAAAGAACTCCCTGTACTTTAGAAATAGCAGTACCAGAACCTTCAGTAAAGATCAAAAGATCATCAGCAAAACTCAGATGAGTTAGCTTCACTTTTTTACATTGGGGATGATATGGGAGATGTCCTAGAGCTGCAGACTCATTCAATAACAAGGAAAGACCCTCCATGGCTATGGTGAATAGGTAGGGTGAAAGAGGATCACCCTGCCTAACACCTTTCTGAGCCCCAAAATACCCACAGAGTCCCCCATTAACACAAATGCTAAACTTAGCTGTTCGTACAGTCAACTTAATCCAGTTTATAAAGCATGTAGGAAACCCCATTATCTCCATCATTAAAAACAAATAGGTCCAATTGACTGAATCGAATGCTTTCATCAAGTCTACTTTGATAGCACAACGTGATGAAAGGTGCATTCTATGATAACCACTAACTAGTTCTTGTGCCATTAAGATATTATCCACTATTCTTCGACCTGCTATAAAAGCTGATTGATTACCACTGATCACCTTAGGTAGCACTGTTTTAAGACGATTGGCCAACACCTTAGCAATAATTTTATACAAAATATTGATACAGGAGATTGGTCGATAGTCTTTTAGAGCACAAGCAGAAGGTACCTTAGGCAATAGAGACACAGCAGTGGCATTGACACTTCCAGGCAAACGACCTGAAGCAAAGAAATCCTTCACACCTGCTAACACATCAGTACCAATAATGGACCACGCCTTCTTGTAAAACCCCGCTGAAAATCCATCCGGGCCAGGGGCCTTATGAGGATTCATGTGAAGAACAACATCAAGGATTTCAGCATCTGTAACAGGAGAAATAAGAAATGCACTATCCTGAACACCCAGTCTGCTACGCACCAATAACTCCAACCTGTTCCTGTCAGGTTTAACCTCAAGGTTACAAACCCCAAACAGATTTTTGTAAAAAGAAACAGTTTCCTCAGCAATCCTCTCAACATCTGTAATCTCTTCCCCATCAGCAGTAACCAGCTTGCGAATAGCTCGTTTTGCTGTATGAATCTTGACCTTCTGATGGAAGAAACGTGTACTCTTGTCTCCCAACTCCAAGTTACTAACCCTCGACTTTTGTTTGTAGAGACATTCCTCAGCCTTCCTAAACACCTCCAGCTGAGCTTGTAATTCTGAAACCTGAGCAAATGACACTGCAGATGGGGAAGCATAGGCCTCAGCTTTTGCACAGGTAAGACTTTGTTCAGTTGCCTTCACCTTTGTACTTACATCCCCAAACTTGGCTTTATTTAGTTGCTTCAAAGCCTGCTTTACCCTAGTCAGCTTTAATTGAACCCTGTGGAGAGGATGTGCTGCAAACTGCGACTCCCAAGCCTTACTAACGAGTGTAAAGAATTCAGGACAATCCGCCCAGAAATCAAAATATTTAAATGGTTTTGGGAGGGATTTCTGAACCGGCTTCGATGTAACCAGGATACCACAGTGGTCTGAGAACAGAACAGTCAGGATATCAATACGACAGGCCGGAAAGACATCAAACCACTTCTCGTTCACAAGAGCCCGATCTAACCTCTTTGCTAGGGGATTATCTGCTTGATTATTTGTCCATGTAAAATGAGACCCAACCACCCTGTGATCCATCAGCTCCATAAGATTAATCCAACTATCAAAATCCCCCATACTACTAGTAATATCACTCTGCCTAGAAATATCCTCTGGTTTAATTACAGTGTTGAAGTCGCCTCCTACTATCCATGGTTGACTGCTGACCTTAAGCCTAGCTAATTCAGTGTAGGTGATTCTCCTCTCCATCTCATCGTTTGAACCATAAACAGCAGTTAAGAAACAACTCTCCCCCTCAACTGATTTTACCACACAATGCACAAAGTTCTTACTAGGAACCAAAACACTCAACTCAACACTATCAGCATCCCAAAATAACCAAATACGACCAAGTCTACTATCAACATAATTCAAGTGTCTCTTCCATCCCTCACAGAACCCTTCAACCACCTCATCTGCTTTATCTTTTTTCACCCTGGTTTCCAAGATTGCCACCACATCCACTTTATGCTGCCTAAGGATCGAATACAGATCCCTACGCTTAGAGGGTTTATTAAACCCTCTAACATTTTGAAAGAGAACTATCATTTGGAGGAAGAGGGCTGAGACCCTCCCTTCCTTCCACCTTTCTTTGGAGCTGCTTGCAGAGAAACAGTTACCCCCTCATCCAGAGACCTTAGCAAATCATAGGAATGAGAAACCGGGAGAACACTAGTTGGACTAGGCTGAGGAGACCATACACGAGGCTTGGCACCATTAACAACAAGTTGGAACTCTGCTTCAGAGGGCAAGGCAGGAGATGCACATTCCACTTCAGCAAAACTTGTGTCAAGATTGAGCCCCTGCAGTTGTGATACCCCTTGAGAACAACCATTGACCAAGCAACCCTCAATTCCCACCATATTAGTGCCGATCATGACCCCCTCCAACCCCCTAGTAGCTGAGACATCCGGAGTAGAGATAACCCCATCCATTCCCATTGGAACTATACTCCCCTGATCCTTCTGCAACTCACCTGGGCACCCTTGCTTATCAACCTGATTAACCTGCACATTCATGTCATTCTGTCCCTTCTCCAGTTCCTTCCTTACCCAGACCTGCGTATGGCACTCACAGACCCCAAATAGTCCACAGGGTGCACACACAGGGGGTAGATGAGCATAAGTCACACCCACCTTGATAGAGGTATCATCATCAAGCCAGATTAAAACATGGTCAGGAAACTCCCCAGCAGCCTGTAACTCGACCAAAATTTTGGCATACCCTAATCGACGCCCCATTCGAGTAGTCTGGTCCACCCCCAATGGCACACCCAGCCAGCTAGCCGCCCTGCTAAGTCCCTGATAGTTCACATATTCCAGAGGAAGATTAGAAAACCGAACCCAGATCGGGAGAGCTTTGCGTCCCATGTCCTCAACATCAATGCCTGGTGCCCAAGGACGAAGATACAGAAGATTGTCGAGATAAAACCACGGCCCACTGTCCAGAATCCAGTCACAAGTAGCCTGCGAAGGTAACTGTATTAGTAGCAACCGATAGCCTAACAGAGAAACCCGGACGAGCCCATCCCGACCCCAGATTTTGTTCGCCCAACGACGAAGGATCGGGAGCTCCGGCATCTGGTGCAAGAATTGCCCAACCAAGCTGTGTTTCCATCGAAGAGAGCCCTCCTCACGAACACTCTGAGGCATCCGAAGACCCCCCTTATAAACCTCAGGCTTGATGTAGGTCAGCCGATTAGCTTCCGAGATGCCAAATAGGTCTGCCCAGGGCTTGAGAGGAACCCCCTGAGGCGACGCCGCCGTTGACGATGACGCCATCAGAAACAGCGAAGGAAAACAAAGAGAGAATAGCGACCGGCGCAGATGCCGGCACTGCAGGGCCGAACCCTAGCCGGAAATCGAACCCCGCCGAAGAATTGGGAGAACTTTCTCACTCAAGAATTTTCTCACTCTATACCGATTTTTCTAATTTATCTCATTTAATTTGGCCCTTTGATTTGAAGTGGAAACAAAAAAAGTACCAAAAGAATTTACTTTGAACGTGCAACTTCATAAGTAGATAATCAATTACATGATGAGAATGAATTATAACTTGAAACATCAATTAAACTATTGGGAACAAACACTTTATATAACGACACATGAGCAAATAAACCAAATAACCTTCCTCGAAAGAGATCGATAAACAAGTTAGAGAAGCCAAATCACCAGAAACTAACTTCCACACACAATCATGCATCATAATCAGTTCACCAAAGCACAACGTTGCCTAATCTCCCCTTCGCTTCCTGTGAGGACACCAATCCTACCCATCTTCTCCATTGATTTACCAAAATCCCTACCAAAAGTTGCCCCAGCAGCAGACTTGGACTGGCGTTTGACATAAGCTCGAGTTACATGATCATCAAGAAGTGCTGCATCAGAGATAAGGAGACCTCTGTTCTGCCTCACAGCTTTGTAGAAATGTGCATCAGAAACCGTGGAACTTCCTTGGTCCAGCTCAAGAACTGGGCCGCCGCCACCAGGCTTGCATTTCTTCTTTAGTTCGGAGGCAAAGGTTGGATCCAGGGCCGGGTCGGTATCGCTTCTCCCCGTGAAGTTGTATAGTCTATCGGTGATCACGAAACAACTTGCAACGCCGATGGTGTGTGCTCCTGAAAGCAATAGGATAAAAAAAAATCGTTTGTGAGTAAATGGTATAAGATAGAAGTTCTATAAAAAAAAAATTCCGTGATCTATTGAAGTGGTGACATCTACATTTTTTTCATGAAAAGATCATAGTGGTAGATTAGATAGTGAAAATTACATTTGAGATCATACGAGAACTTGAAATCCATCCATAACAAATGAATTTATTGTCAGTAGAAAATTATCCTCATTAGACGAACAACTAAGACACGTATTGTTTGTTCAGTTTAACGATTGAACGAGACTCTAAACTTAAACCTTAATTATTTTCAATTGTAACATGATTTCATTAATGATTTCAAAGGGTTTAGCAGGTTGAAAATTTTGAAACCCATTGACATATTTTATCGGTTGTAACAACGATAACTTATTTGAATTATTTTTACCTGACAAAACAGCCAGGTCTTTCTTAGTTAAACCCTTCGATGCAAAGTTTTGTTTGTTTTTTTTTTTTTTCAAAAGATAATCATATATAAGATTGAACCAAAAGATATTACATCCTGGAAACCAGCCAGGCCTGGAAATCAAAAGAACGGCTTGTAGCCGGGTACAAATCAAGGGCCTTTCTAGCCACCAAATGGGCTACCCTATTGACACTCCGACCTACAAAACGAACACTTAAAGCGCTATGACTAGAAAACATTGCAATGATCTCCTCCAGTACCGCCCCAATGTGGACATCCCTCGCATCCTGGCGTGTAACTTTATCAATGATAATCTGAGCATCTCCTTCGAAACAAACCTCATGAAAGCCTAACTCCAGGCACCATGTCACTGCTTCACGAAGAGCCAAAACCTCCGCCACCAAGGGGCTATCCAGAACTGGAAACTGCACACCACGAACCAGCAAAATATTCCCATTGGAGTCCTTGAGCACCAGCCCCCCCGCCGAATGAGACCCCGACCTGGTTGCCCCATCCCACATACAGGAAAGAGACTGTGCACCAGGGACCAAACCCACAGGAGAGGAAGTAGAAAGCACACCCCGAACCGGGTCAACCGGGAGGCTTACCCACTCTTGGTATTGCTGGAAATATTGCCGTAGTAACGCAGGAACCCCAAATTGTTTACCCTCAAACACCACCCAATTACGTGACCGCCAAATTCGCCAAAGGAGAGCAGCCACCGCCATGAATAACTGCGGCTGATTAAGCGTACCCATCAAATTCTTTAAAAACAGGGGGAAGATATTACCCGCCAATCCTTGTCCAACATGGCCCAACCCCGTCTGATCCCAAAGAGCCCTAGCCACCCGACATTCAAGGAACAAATGCTCCATAGTCTCCTTTTCCGCCCAGCAGACAGGACACCGCGGGAGGACGTCCACCCCCTTTTCGATTAAAGCTTCTGTTGTCGGAAGGATGCGACGAAACACCTGCCACAGGAAAACATTGAGCTTAGGGGGAATATTCGCATTCCACAACCGAACCCAGCTTTGCTTATCCATCCAGCTAACCACAGGTCTCCACCGACCCTCCTGCTTATCAACCAAAACAGCAAGGTGATACGCCGATTTAACGGAAAACAGACCATCAGCTGTCATGTGCCAAATTAGCCTATCCTCAATATCCCTACGAGGGAGGGGAATAGACTTAATCGCTCGGCACACCTCTGGAGGAAACCACTGACGGAGCTTCTCATCACACCATCTCCCCTCACCTTGGCGAATAACCAACCTCACCTTAGGCTCCTCCCCAGCAGGAATGACCTGAGGGTTATAAACCGGGCAATTAGGGTGCAACAGAGGAACCCATCTCGAGGAGATCAGCGAAGCTGTCTGACCATTCCCAATCTGCCAACGAAGACCCCGGAGCAGCAATTCGCGACCATAAAGGATACTTTGCCAGCCCCAAGAGGGCCTAGACCTAAGTTCAGCAGTCAAAAACGTTCCCCTAGGGAAATACTTTCCTTTATAGACCTGCGCCAGAAGAGATTGAGGATCAGACAGAATTTGCCACCCAATTTTTGCCAACAAGGCTTGATTAAATTGTTCAAATCTTCGAAAACCCATGCCCCCCTCATGTTTACTCGTGCACATAATTCTCCACGACACCCATCGAATTTTGGCACGCCCCCCTTCCACTCCCCACCAAAAACGAGCAACATGCCTATCCAAGAGACGGCACAAAGACAACGGCAACTTAAAGCAGGACATCACATGCAGAGGAAGAGCCAAGGCAACAGACTTGATCAGTGTTTCCTTAGCCGCCCAGGACAACGTCCGCTGCTTCCATCCTTGCAAAATATTTAACAGTTTATCCTCCAAAAATTGAAAAGTAGCCATTTTAGACCGCGCAATCAAAGTGGGGAGACCCAGATATTTATCCTGAACTCCTACTGCGCCAACACCCAGAATATCGGCAAGAAACTCTTGGTCGGGCAAGGAAATATTCTTACTAAAGCATACCGCCGACTTGCCCAAATTAACCCGCTGTCCACTCAACTCCTCATAAGTGTTTAGGACCTCAATAAGGTTCTCACATTCCTGCAAAGAGCCTCGGAGGAACAGATATGAGTCATCCGCAAAGAAGAGATGAGAGATACGGGGAGCCCTAGGGGCAACCTTCACTCCCTCAAGTCTCCTTTCTGCGATGGCCTGACGGAGCAAAGCAGCGAAACCCTCCGTGCAAAGCACAAAGAGCAACGGGGACAAAGGATCTCCCTGCCGGAGACCGCGGGTCGAAGTAAAGAAACCTGCCGGAGTGCCATTCATAAGAACCGAAAAAGAAGCAGACCTAAGGCACTCCTGAACCCACCCGCACCAGACCGAGTTAAAACCTAGCTTTCTCAAAATCGCAAGCAGAAAGGGCCATTCAACCCTATCATAGGCCTTTTCCATGTCAACCTTTAGGGCCATGTACCCTTTCTTCCCTTGCGTTTTAATTTTAAGATAGTGCATCAACTCGTGCCCAAGCAGGATGTTTTCCACGATCTGCCGCTCGCGAATAAAAGCGTTCTGTCCTTCAGAGATGATTTGGGGCAAAAAGGGAGCCAGTCTCTCTGCCATAATTTTTGTAATGATCTTATACACAAATTGGCAAAGACTGATGGGCCGGAGCTGCGTCATATTTTCCACATTGTCCACTTTGGGGATGAGCGTCAGCCAGGTATGATTGAAGCTTCGAAGCAATCTACTAGTCCCAAAAAAGGCCCGAACTGCTTCAATCACCGAGGTACCTATAATATCCCAATAGGACTTGAAAAATTTCCCGGTGAACCCATCAGACCCCGGTGCCTGTTTAGCTCCCATAGAAAACACAGTTTTACGAATTTCCTCCGGGGAAACTTCCGCCGTAAGCACCGCATTCATATCAGCCGAGACCTTCCGCTCTATGGGCAGGCTATCAACCCTCTCGTCCATGTTCGGAACAGAAGTCTCGGAGGTGAAGAGATTCTGATAGAAATTAGTTGCTATATCCGCCTTCCCCCGCTCCTCAGTAATCCACTCACCCTCATCATTATGAAGCCCAGAGACAAAATTATGCTTCCGGCGGGTACGGGTAACCGTGTGAAAGTACGACGAATTTTTATCCCCTTTCTTAAGCCAATGGACTCTGGATTTCTGTTGCCAATATTCCTCCTCAGCCTCCCATTGGCGGCCAAGCTCTGTTTCCAACTCCCGTATCTCCTCCCAGTTAATAGGCTGGTTAAGCCGCACCCTATCAATCTCAGCTTGGAGAGTCTTAATATTTCTGAGCGAGTTCGTAGTCCCTGCTCTACTCCAGTCATACAGTAAGTGCCGGAGTTTCTTCAATCTTTCCCAAAGCTGATACATGGGGGTACCTTGTATCTCTTCTGACCACACATATGACACCATAGCCTTGACTTCCGGATTCTGAGCCCAACGAGCATCAAATCGGAAGAGGGGACGGCTGTGCCTAGCACATGGTTTATCAGAGAAGACAAGAGCTCGATGGTCCGATCCCTGATCGGTGAAATGTTTGACCAACGAGTCAGAGAAATTCTCAATCCAAGCCTGGGAGCAGAGAGCTCTGTCTAAACGTTCTCGAATACAAGCCGCCCCCATTCGTTTATTGGTCCAAGTAAACTGGTCACCTTGGAACCCCGGATCCTGGAGCCCAAAATCGTGAATAAAATTTCTCATAGGAATGGATGGAACAGGGGACCAGGGATGACCACCATCCTTTTCATTTTCGTGCAAAGTAACATTGAGATCCCCAATAATCACAAAAGGAAGATGGATTGCATCACAAATGTCACGAAGCACGATCAATTGATTAGCGCGGATGGGTTCATGACAACTAAGATAAACACAAATCACCACATACGACGAATTGTTTTCATTAATCCGAACGCAAATAGAAAAATCCGAATGATAAAACACCGAAGCCTCAACTCCGGGGGCCCAAGCTACAAATAAACCACCAGAAGTATCGATGGCATCAACAAAGAAACAAGAATTCAAAGAAAAACCTAACCCCCGCATACGACGGGTAACTACTCTCCGGCTAGATCTTGTTTCCGAAAAGAAGACAAGGTCCGGTTTATTGGAATGAATTAAACCTACAGCAGTTTGGAATGTGAGTGAAGGCCCAATTCCTCTCACATTCCAGGCAAGAAGCCTCATTTATCCACTTGGGGCCACTCTTGGCTGGCTACCTCCACCATATCATCATGTTGAATCTCCTCAATAAACTGCTTCTTCGGGTTGGGGGGCTCCTCAATGCCCCCTTCCACCTCTTCCAGAGCTCTCTTCGTCCCCCCAGTAACAGGATCCAGAATATTAGACCCATACTCATTCAATTTCCAGATCATCTCCTTCTCCGAGGCCGGAGGTGACTCATTGGTCTTCAACAATCCTTTATCATTGAGCCTAGTCTCTGATCGCCCATCGCCTATCGGATTAAGGGTCATACCTGCTTCAAAAGCAGCCACCACCATTCCCACTCGACCATGATTGGTTCGGGCGACCTCAGCAGGATCCTTTCCTTTATTACGACGCTTGATTTCAAAACATTGCTCCACTTCCTCTTCAGAGGACACCACCGCCGCACCATTGTGCATCAGGGATGGCGAAACAGCGCGCAAGTTACACTTGAGCGACGTATCCAAGCTAACAGGCACATCCACCAAACTCTCATCCTCGTTCCTCAATTCTTCCTTCTTGCCCCGCCCAGACTTCCCCATCTTTTGTGCACTCGCACGAACTTTGGTCTTCACCTCTGGCCGCATTGCCTTCCGCAGCTTACGACGCCCAGCAGGAGGAGCACCCTCCTTTTTTCCACCATCCTCCATTCCCATTCCAGTAAACTCCACCGCCTTCTGTGGCTCAGGATCGATATGCATAGAGGGTTTGAGGAATGGGAGGTCATCTTCTGATTCCTCCAGGAGCAGCATCTTGCGGCGGTGGGTCATGCGGAGACTAGGCTCCACACTACTCGACCCCGAGTCTTCCTCTCCCAACGCAGCCACATGCTGCGGCATTTCTGTTTGGGCCTGTCTTTCTAGGCCCGCAGTGTTTGGGCGCCTCTTCCCTACCAAGCCCATCCCATTTGGATGAGAGAGGCCGCCAGGATTCATCTTCTGGGCCCGCATCGGCTGACCCAATTCTTGCACACCACCTCGGCCCACCTGTCCATCACGTCGGCCCACCTTCTTTTTTTCCGTTTTTGGGATCACAGGAGCAGCATGGGCCCGCAACATATGCCCTGAGCTCCGCCTCTCCCCACGGCCCAAATGCCCACCAACGCTGTCCATCTCCATCCGCTCACCTTTCGGCCTGGCGGAAGTGGCCCGACGGGCTTCCCGGCCCAGTGACACACGGGGGGATTTCTTCAGATTGATTCCGCGCGGGCTACGAGCCCGGTTCTCCCTCTTTCCCCCATTGTCGCCCGAAAGGTCCTGGGACAGCAGCTCCACCCTTTCTTCCTTCTGCTGTCCAGCTTTGCCTTGAACATCATGCCTCTTCCTCTTCTCGCGGATATCCTTATTAATCCACACAGATTTCGGACCACCATGGAAAACAGGGGCATCATCATCCTCATCATAGATTCTGGTTCCAGCTTTCTTTGTGGACATGTGAGGCCCGAACCTCTCCTGCCGGGTAGGGGGGTCGAAGAAACAGTCACTGATCATATGACCCACCCTCCCACATTTAAAGCAGAACGAAGGCAGGTGTTCATACTTTAGATTCACCCAAAAGCGCCCAGTTTCCTCACTAGCGGCCATGATCTGCGACCTCAGAGGCTTCGAAAAGTCAATCAAAGCTCGAACTTTGACAAACCATTCATTTGTATCCGTACAGGCAAAAACACCCGATTCTAGGACATGTCCAATGGCATCATTCGCTACCTTCCTGCCGAACTGCTTGGTGCAGCACTCATCCCGCACTCCCCATAACTGGACCCGAAACGGCACAATCGCCAGTTCATCGAAGATTGCTTTAGTCAGTTGAGGCACCCAGGCTCGAACATGAAGGATTTTGTCCGCAATAACCCACGGCGATCGCTTCAACACCCAGTTCCTTGACGATTCTGTAGGCAGAACGAACTCAAACAGTCCATGTTTTGCCACCATCACCCGGATCCTCCCTTTCCCTTGCCATGGGAAGTTCAGCGATTCTCTGAGCTCCGCCACAGTCACGTTGCTATTGGTGAACAACCTTCCCACCAGAGCGCACGAGCTACGGAATCTTGCAGGTTTCACCTCTGCCATGGAGAACTGAATCACCTGGTCGTCCTGGATGCGAGCCATGGGCTTCACCTGCAAGGAACAAGGTCGGGAAACAGTTTCAAACAACAGTTCAGAGACAAGGGTCCCCCCCGTCCGATTACCAGCCATGCTAGCTACGGGTATTGGGGATGGGGGTGCTTCATCAATCCCAGCGATTTGCACCGCCAGGTCTGTTGAAAGCAAAAGAGATGATCGGGAAGAAAACTGGACTGGACCTAAGTTGGAGTCTTCGTAAGAATGGTCACTGTGCTTCCCCGCCGTCAACGAGCTCTCACCACTTGAATGGAACGTGTGAGTAAAAGGAGTCGTGGACGGATTTAAATAGGGGGAGGCACCTAAAAACCATCTGATACCAAGAGTCATAAAAGGGTCAAGCGTCTTTGGGTAGATAACCTCACATAGACGTCGACTTGAATTAGGACTCCAATTCAAAATACAATTCGATGGGGATAAGGTCCCGAGAAATCCGGGCCAGGAGTTACGGCGCGGTGATTCTGAATCTCCCAGATTCGCCCTACCCGGCTTCCGCTGACCGTTACCAGCGAGGCGATTCGCCCTCCGGCGAGTAATCCCGGGCAACCACCTGTGCACCATCAAACTCCGGCCACTGCGTACTTCACCGGATACCATCACCAGCCGGACTTCATTGGCCACTTTACACTGGTAGATACCCTCGGTACCATCCCTAGCATCCAGCACGGTCGGACTGTTTTGAAATTTAATCACTCTGGCCGTCATATTATTTCGGACGGGAGCAGTGTCTTCAACCTCCACCCAGGGCCTCGGATAGGACTCGCTTGCACGATAATCTCCCCCTGGGGTCTGTACTTTATCCAACAGGACAGGAAGGGTTCGTGATTCCACTTCCGTATAATCGTCCAGGATTGACGACGAAGGTAGCGAAAATCGCCAAACCTCCACCTTAGAATACTTTTGACGCTTCCTTAAACACGTCTCATCACTGGATAACTCCAGGAAATTTTTGCGTTTCCGCTTTTTCACGATCCAAATCCTGGATCTTCTTGAGGAGGAACCCATCCCAGGAACTCGCTTACTTTGGCATGTTCCTGTAGGTCTCCAGTTTGGGCCATGAATCAACCCTTCTGAATGCAGCATCGCATTCTTACTCGTGGGGCTTGCCACTCCTTGATTATGCAGGCTCACGTCGATCAACTTCATCATCATCGTGATAAGGATTCGGCCAACTCTCCGGCCGAACTCCAGGAGCGAGAAGAGAGCGATCTTGAGCATTTTTTTTTTTTTTTTAAACGATACCAAGAACAGTATATAATGATGCAAAGTTTTGTTTGAGTTGAGCTATGTTGAAATTCGAGGATGGTAAATTTTCGTCTGCCTCCTTGCTAAGTGAGATTCTTCCATCTCTACGTCCAGTTTCAGCTTTCCAAAATGATCCACCTGTCTGAAAATAGAGTAAAAAAAACCCAGAGAACATACGTAAATAAAACATTTCTAAAAAAATATAGTAATTCGTGGGACGAGCCTAGAACATTACCAGTCGAACCGCATCACGAGCAGCCAAGGCCAATATATCGGCACAAGAAACCACACCAGGACAACTCTTCTCAATCGCAGACTTCACATCATCAATCACGTCGTACCCTCTTAAGCTGAAGTTGGGCGATGCATCTTTCTCTGCGTCACCTTCCTCTGCTGCATCCAAAAGCACTGAAGCCTCACATCCCTTCAAAAAATGCACATTACAACGTCATTTGCATGTGTCAATAACGTCTTCTGACATAAGAGCATGTGTGTAAGTTGTAGCAACTTACTCGAACGAAGCAGTCATGGAAATGGAGCCTGAGCAATGCGGCAGCAAGAGTCACGTCCTTGGAGATGGCCTTGCGAATAGTCTTAAGAGCTATGGTCTCTGCATCAGGGCAGCTCTCATCGTAGTAACCGGTTCGCAGACCGGCTCCATTGGCCCGGTTCGGGCCTGAAACAGCGAGAAGAACTAGCTGGATGAAGAAAATCGACACAACCCTTGTCTGAACCGCCATTTCTGTGTGTGTATGATGAAAGGCAGCAGCTAAGGTTTCAGTGGTTGCGATGAAAGAGTTAGTGTTGTGCTGCTGTTTATATAGTTCAGTGGAACTAACTTATTCGTTACAATATTATATTGTACGGGAAAAGGTCAAATAATGACTTAGCTTTTGTCGCTGCTTCACAGGTCCAACAAACAAATGGAGCCAAGTTTAGCAATCCGAAGGTCAGAAGGATTGCGACTTAGCTTTTTATTTATTTATTTATAAATAATGACTTAGCTTTTGTTTTCTTTCCTGTTTTTGTTTCTCTTCTTGCGTTGACTTCTTTGGACAGCCGGCTCCTTGACTTTGTAGACCTAGCATGCATCTTGTTGGAGTTATGAAAGAATACAGCAAGTATGACAACTAACAAGTGAAAGTAATCAACCAACGTCGATTATGGTGTTAGATGAATTCATGTGTACAGTACATCATCTGGTTTACCATTATGATGATCGTCGTAAAACTTGAACTAAGAATCGCTTCAAGAAAAAATTAATATTGTTGGTTTAATATAATGCATCAAATATAGTGCAAGATTTGAATTTAGGTGAGTTATCACTTAAAGTTAATCGTGTGGGATTTCATTTGGATGAATGAGTTTCGTTTATAATTCTTTTTTGGCATCTCACAAACCCTTTTATAAGGCTATAAATTGAAGTTCTTTGGTTGAAAAAAAAAATGATGCAACAAACATGCAAGTGATAAACGGTTTAGGATGTCCGACGGTCGTATTCCACAAGGTCTTCTACTGCGCAACTACTCACACCATACCATCCGTGCTCGAACAAGAATATGAAAGACTCAGGGAGTTTTATTCGAATAGGCATGAAAGTAACGCAAGCATGAAAAGTAAAAGATTTTTAGGAATTTTTTTAAATGATATAGATGCGTAAAAGTAAAGAAGGTATCACGAGAGGGCAATTTTTTAACAAACTAGATGATACTAAGTATAATGAATATATTAGTATATTATAGAATCATATGCGTCAATGATAAGAAAGTATTAATAATAGATAAACATCGATGATCATCCTGTAATCAAAACTAAAAGCATACATACACACATGATTGGCATCAAAATTTAAAAGCATAAACACAAGCATCATATGATATCATGGCATCAGTACATATAAAGATAAATGAGTTAAAATTCCGAGGAAATAAGTTCCGAAATAGCTACGCAAAGAAGAGAAGGAGTGCAACACCATCGATGATGAAGGCATCTGCTTAGCTCAACCATCTCCTACGAATGTCAATCTCTCACTCGAACAAAGTGTCTACAGAAGTATTGAATGGAACCGTCAAGCTACCAAACTAATGAGTCTAGCTCCCTATTTATAGAGGTAGAACTCGGCCAAAACCTTCTTAACCCTAACACGACAAGTTCTCTCTTACTTGGGGACGAAGCATAGCCCAAAAGATTTTTTTTATTTGGGCTTGGGCCTTAGATTGGTGGCTTGGTGGAGACTGGAACTGCCACATGGTTTCTTCGTCGGGCTTAGCTCCTTGGTCCATAAGCAAACTCTCTTAAAGATTTCTCCATTATTTGACCCAGATTTGCTTAGGAGGCGGTTGGGCCCCACACTGGGCCGCCTTTGGTTCTTGCTCCTGTTTGGACCGAGTGTCCCTCCATTAGGCTCCTCTTAGGGGTTATACATGGTTCCTAGTAGGTTTCTCTATCATTGGACCTCATCTTTATCCTGAAAACTCTATATTTTATTTTCTCTCTTTGTCTTCTTTGGTCCTCCAGAATCATTTAATGCTAGATCCAAATCTTCCTAATTGTATTTTATCTTAGAAAGCACAAAAGCATACCAAGAAGATATAAGAGAATACAAAAACATAACTTAGGTCTATGAAATTCCCGTTGATAAAATAGTTATGATTTGGATATAAAATATATGAGAAAGTACTAAAAATATATTGATAGAAGGGGAAAATGTATCAAATGTGGGAGTGATAAACTCGATAAATTGATTGTCACTGAAACCCACCGATTCTTCCAACTATTTTATTCTCATAAAATTGTAGAATATATTTTTGAGTGTTTTTTCTTTCTGTTAAGAGTTTTCTACCTACTATAAAAAAATTTCACTCTAAATATTATTCCTTGATCATTATGGATTTAATGGCTTGTCTAATACGTGATTTTCTTCCTCCACTTGGGATTGTTTTCCATTTAAATTTGATGTTTTGTCTTTGGTTATTCTCTTCTCTGTTTTATTTTAATTTTAAAATTGAATTTGCTTCCACTAGTGCTATTTTTTTTCCATTGTCAAAAGTCTTAAAATGGCAAAAGGTATTAAAGTTTTGACAACCAATTGAACTTCTCAACAAGATGACTGCAAAGTTTGACATTGAGAAGTTTGATGGCAAGATATCATTTATCGATATGGAGATTTCAAATGAAGGAGATTTTGACATAGAACATTGTTGAGAAGAATTTACTGGGTCTCGAAGTCAAACCAGAGACTTTGAGTGATGTCCAATGAGAAGAGCCGGATGAAATGGCTCTTATTGCTATTCAATTACGTCTATCAAAATTGGTTTATGCAGGAGTGGATCCAGATTTTCTTCTGTGTATTTTCTGATGAGTGCACGTTTTTGGCCGACTGGGTCACTAAACTATTTTTTGTTATTATTATTATTGTTGTATATTCGGATATTATTTTGGTTATTTTGGTGTTGAAGAAGTAATCGGTTAGGAGTCGGTCTATGATTGGGTTTCCTTGTTCAGGGGGAAAGGGTTTGTAGGGTTTCCCTAAATATGTACTTAACATCAACGTTTTATTCACCAAAAAAAATAATAAACTAGTACTTTTCAGTTTTTCTTAGTTCTCGTTTACGAAACCCCGACGCGTGAAACGTTCACGCGTCATTTTCATATATCATTGTTGTTGTCGTCCCTCGAACAAGGATCTCCTCAATAGCGTCAACAGGCAAGAGTGCGGACACTAATCGATGACGGGAAATCAGAGTGTGAGAGGCTCGAACGGATTTCACAAATTATTTGGTCAGATCCATCGTTCGCTTCACCCAGTTCTAGATCCTTCAAAACCTGATTAACCCCTGGCTGGGCTCCTTGATGACCATCCTTCGCCAAAATTATTGTTGGGGGAAATGATTTATACGAGACGTCTGGCTTTTTCCGACAGTTGATCAAGGAGTGCAACGTCAAAGGATCGAGGAACATGGCGATGGTTGTGATAAATGGTGAAGTGGAAATTACTTCTCTTTGATAAAAAAAAAATTTATTAGATCTTTTGAGAAGATTATTATGTTGGTTTTCAGAACTTTGGAGTCGTTCATTCACCATACATCACGCTCTTTCTTTGGTGTGTTCATTATTGCATTGATGTTACACTTGTAATCTAGTGTTGATGGGAGGATACTTGTGTTGTATCCATATATGGAGAGAGCACTGAGAAGTTGTTATCTAGTGGCGGAACGACAGGTCTAGTTAGCCACTTGAGGGAAGGAATTCTTAGTTTGGAGATCTTTAGTGGTGGTTCAACGTTGTTGCTTGAACAAAGACTTCCAATGAAGTTTTGAAGCATTCATTCATGGAGTAAGTTCTAGTTAACCTCCGAAGTAATTTCTTCCCTGGTAAACTATGAATCTTTTGGATATTAGAAGAGAGGACTGTGATTGTGAAGTTTAATGGACTGTTTTGAAAGAGTGTTCTTGAAATCTATTTCCTTTTACCAATTTGGCTTTACTAGGGTGACCTTGTTTTTTCAGTCATAGGTCATCATATAGTTTCCTTTATGTGATACTCATCGATTCCATTTTTAGGTTTATGACTATGCTCAAATTAGTTGTGGGTTGATAATAGAAATGAGAACTGAGATGAGAAGGTTGAAACAAAAGCTGAATCAAACGATGGAGATGTACAGCTTAGCTTGCACGGAAGCTCTCTCAGAGGAGAATGAAGGAAGAGTAGAGGACCCTTCATTGATGCAATGGACAAAACATAAAGATCACCCATCATTTGATTGTTAGGATAGTTTTCTATTAATGTATTCAAATGGATGTATTTGTGTATTATAAAATACTTTGTTTGTATTTTTATTTTAAAGAATAATTTATTGAAATTATCACTAAATATATTTTAATATTATTATTCTTATTTTATAAAAATTGAGTGGATATACGGTATATCTTCTACAAAGAGGCAGATATATGTGCCACAAAAGTAGGTTATATAAAAATTGAAATATAAGCATAATTGTTTGATTCAAAATATACCTATTTTAATATGAGCCTGAGTATGTGAAAGGGTCACTTCGAAATTCACGCGAGGTTGTGGAGGTGGGAGAAAATAAATGGGTTAATAGCTTAGTTGGTCAATTCCTCGGGAAATTATCGTCCATGTCGTCAATCAGGTATTGGGCGAATAGGCTTTGGGGCAAGGCGGGCGAAATCCGGGGTTTACGACTAGGAGAGAAGCTAATTTTATTCCAATTCCCATCGGATGAGATCTGTCAATGGTCTTTGAAGGGGGGCCATAGCATTATCGCGACAACCTAGTATTTTCTAGACGATGGGAACCAGGTATTGGTCCGCTGACAATTGATAATTCGACTATGCTTGTTTGTATTCGTCTTTCAAACTTGCCTACTGAATTGGCATTTAAGGAAGGTCTGGGTAGGATTGCTAGTTCACTGGGTAAGTCATTGTGCATGGATATTCCGACAAGGAAGGGTATGCGATTTGGTGATGCAAATATTTGTGTGGAGGTAAAGGCAGCTGAAAAGAAAGTGGATAAGATCATTGTTACTCTAAATGGGCTCCCTGGGATGTTTATAGGAGTTGAGTACTGTCATTTACCAAGGATTTGTGCAAAATGTGAGGTGTTTGGGCATGACTACTAGTTACCTAAAGGTCTGACTAAGAGATTTTAGCAGACAAAAACTCCTATCACTGGGGAGGTGTCTATGCCACAATTAGAAGAGGTTGAACAGATAGTGGAG